ACATCCAGCTCAAACTATCATTAAATTTTTAACAGAAAAATGACGATTTTAGAACATATGAATAGTTAGATGACATTTTGTAACTTTTAATAGTTGGGAGACTAAACAAAGTATTGTCCTATAATCAATGGACCATTTCATAACTTTTAATACTTTGGGGACTTGATAAATTATCACCCTGTTGTTGGGTGCACCATTTGTATATCTCACCTAACTAGTTATTATTATGAATAATAATAAGGATAAAATATAGTTTATATCAATTAATTATTAATTCGATTACAAACAAATTATTTTAAAATATATATATGATACAATTATTTAATAAAAATATTATTATAACAAATAATTAATCGTTAAGTAATACGTAAAATAATAGTATGACCTAATATAATAATAGTTATAGTCTCAAAATTTTATATATTATATTTGTTTAAATTTAATTATTTTTGTTCAAAATGTCTATTAATTTAATTTTTTTTTCTCTTAAATTATTTGTTTTTTTATAAATATTTTTTCTGATATGATAATAAATTAACAGTAATTTATTGATGCATTATAGTAGAATATAATTATCTAACTATTGCTTTGATCGAATGGACTAACGTAATTTATGAAAATTTTAAATATAAAATATTAAATTTATTAAATTATTTTAAATTACAATCAAATTGATAGAATGTATATTTTTTGTTCAGACTAAAATTATTGTTATTGTGTTAATTACATTAAAAGTATGTTTCAATTTAAAAGGATTCCCTGGCCAACGATGGACAGCGCTTTCTTCAATGCAAAAAATAAAAGTTAAAAGAAGACAAATTCTAAAGGTGCTCTCGTCCTTCTTCCCACTCTCGCAATTTGCGTCCCACTCTCGCAATTTGCGTATTACTTTTTTTCTCTTTCTATTTTGTTATACTCTCAGTATACTTTAGGGTTTCTCTTTGGATCCAAAACTCAACGATTCAGATTCCGCTCAAACTCTCTCCTTCCAGCTCATTTCGTCGGTTCAGCGCACCTCTCTCACCCCACAATTGTGCTTCTCCGTTTCCGAAGTGAGTTTCTTTTACTCGCTTTCTCCCCACCCACTTAGTGTTCCTTTTCGTCTTCTTTTTAGGGGTTGATTTGGTGAAGAATAAAGGGGGAAAATAAAGAGGTTTTCTTACATGAATTCGTGGGAAATTGATAAAATTTCCCATGAGAAGTAAACAAGGATAAAATACCCATTTTGGAACTGCTTGTAGATCTCTAAATTTGTAGTTTCAGTTCACACGTATTCGTGGTTACAAGCTTGGATTTTGATTAGGCTTTTCCTTTGGGGGAATAAGATGGACCCATCTGCACCTGGTAATGATTGCAAGAATAAATTTTGTATTGATAATTTGATAGCTGCAAGAAAGTCACTAAAGCTCAGCTTAGAGAAATCAAAAACCCTAGGATTGGCTCTTGAAAAGGCTGGACCAAGAATAGAGGAGATCAACCAAAGATTGCCTTCCTTAGAGGCTGCGGTCCGCCCAATTCGTGCTGACAAGGACGCGCTTGCAGCTGTTGGGGGCCATATATTAACCGAGCTGTAGGCCCTGCTGCAGCAGTGCTTAAGGTTTTTGATGCCGTCCATGGACTTGAGAAGTCCCTTCTATCAGATCCCAGGAATGATCTTCCTGGGTATTTATCAGTGTTGAAACGCCTCGAAGAGGCATTGAGGTTTCTTGGTGATAACTGCGGATTGGCTATTCAATGGTTGGAAGATATAATTGAGTATTTGGAGGATAACAGAGTTGCTGATGGACGGTATTTGTCGAATTTGAAGACATCACTCAAGGGCCTAAGGGAGTTGCAAAATGATGGGGAAATAATACATCTTGATGGGGGGCTTTTAGATGCTGCATTGGACCAACTGGAAAATGAGTTTAGAAGACTATTGACGGAGCATAGCGTGCCACTTCCAATGTCATCTCCATCACTAGGCGAACAGGCATGCATTGCACCGTCACCCTTGCCGGTGACTGTTATTCAGAAGTTGCAAGCAATTCTTGGTAGGCTGATTGCCAATAATAGACTTGAGAAGTGCATTACAATCTATGTTGAAGTTCGTAGTTCAAATGTCAGAGCTAGCTTGAAGGCACTTGATTTGGATTATCTCGAGATCTCAGTCTCAGAGTTCAACGATGTGCAGAGCATAGAGGGGTATATAGGACAGTGGGGAAAACATTTGGAGTTTGCAGTAAAGCATTTACTCGAGGCAGAGTTCAAACTTTGTAATGATGTTTTCGAGAGGATTGGCCTGGATGTTTGGATGGGATGTTTTGCAAAAATAGCTGCACAAGCTGGCATTCTTGCTTTTCTTCAGTTTGGGAAGACTATTACCGAAAGCAAGAAAGAACCTTTAAAGCTTCTCAAGTTATTGGATATATTTGCATCTTTGAACAAAATTGAGATTGGATTTCAACAGGCTCTTTGGTGGAGCAGCATGCATTGAGATCCAAAACCTGACAAGAGATCTCATCAAGAGGGTTATTGACGGTGCAGCCGAAATTTTCTGGGAAATCTTTGTTCAGGTGGAATTACAGAGGCAGATCCCTCCTCCTCAGGATGGGAGCATTCCTAAATTGGTGTGTTTCATAACTGAGTACTGCAATAAACTGCTCGGTGATGAGTACAAGCCGATCCTGACCCAAGTTCTTGTCATTCACCAAAGCTGGAAGCATAAAAAATTTCAGGAGATGATTCTTGTTAATGAGGTTTTGAAAATAATTAAGGCCGTTGATTTGAATTTGGAAACATGGGTGAAGGCATATGGTGATGCTACGCTGTCCTATCTTTTTGCCATGAACAGCCACTGGCATCTATACAAACACTTAAAGGGAACAAAAATTGGAGAGCTCATGGGAGATACTTGGTTGAAAGATCATGAACAGTACAAGGAGTATTATTCCGCGGACTTCGTAAGAGAGAGCTGGGGTAAGCTCCCTGGCCATTTAAGCCGTGAAGGGTTAATTCTGTTCTCAGGTGGTCGTGCCACTGCTCGTGATCTCGTAAAGAAAAGGTTGAAGACTTTTAATGAAGCTTTTGACGAGATGTATAAAAAGCAGTCTGGTTGGGTTATCTCAGAAAGAGATTTGAGGGAGAAGACATGCCAACTAATAGTGCAGGCGATTCTACCCGTCTATCGAAGCTATATGCAAACTTATGGGCCATTGGTGGAGCAAGATGCAAGTTCCAGTAAATATGCAAAGTACACAGTGCAGGGGTTGGAACAAATGCTCCTTTCCCTTTTTCTGCCAAGGCGGGAAAGGTACGGCAGTTTCAAAGGCAGAACGACCGGCAGCAAAATCGATAACGGGGTAGATCTTCGCCGAACTGCATCTGCAGTTGTGTGATTGTAATATGTTGGTGTTTTAGATGTTTAAGCGTATATCTTGTGCACGGTTTTACTATGTTACGTCGACTGCGAAGCAAATGGGTGGTGGGGTAAGGGACATAACAAGCAAGTACCGTGTTGGGTTGGTAGATAAGAGAATTGATACTTTCAGGTATAGCATTTCAAGTTTTCTTTCATATTCACTTGTTAATTTAGTCGCTAGCTTGTAGGCAATTTGCTGGTTTTCATGTTCAATATAGTGACATAAAAGTGGAAAGTGAAGGTCTAAGCTGTGATTAATTAAATTTATTTAGTCATCAACATTCCCTAAAGAATCTGCTCTGATGAAATGCCCTTAATTGTTTTCCTGTTATTAGGATGGGTTTGATGTACATGCACTTGTTATTAGGATTTCATGCTCAATTCGTGTTAACACGCATCTCCGATGCATGTTACATTTATTTCTTCTTTTTGAATAAAATCCAACTAAAGGTTATTATTTCGATAAATGATTGGAAATAAGGTCACTCTAGATTTTAACTAAAAAATATTTAGGTAAAAAAAAATGCAAGGTCTGAATGAATGTAATACTATTTTTTTTTATGAAAAATCAGAGTAGAAATAATATTAAAAAAAGAAGTCATGTTTTAACACTCGTCGAAAGGCAGTATTTTTAACCATTATTCAGTGGCCCTTTCCTCTCTTGAAATGTTGTCAACAATTGTTCTACTACCTCTAGATACAGAAAGAACAACAAAAATTGAAGGGCGGCCATCGTTTAAAATGTAAGAGATAAAATACCTGCAACTTTAAACAGACAAAAAATTAAAAATAAAATGTTGTTAAACGTTGCACCTCTATGGAGATGGAGGAAGCAACTGTCTGTCCCAATACAAGAATGCGTACTGGTTTTGGGTGATTACAAATCGATGTCAAAATGAGTACTGGCTTGCTCCTTGATGGCCTAAAGTTTTACGACCAGTATAGACAAATGAGACTGGATATAAATAATTCGTCATATGAGGTTCGATTTTGTTTCGGTATGATCCTTTCTCCAGTCTGTGTTGTTACAGTGGAATTAGCTCAGCTTGATATCATGACAGGAATTACTTGACTTAGAAGAAAAGACGGGTAGTAATGTGAGCACTGTGCTATCCGAAGAAGCATTGTCGAAATGGCTCACGAAAAGCATCTACGAGGATGACAGCGTCAGCTGTTACGGTGAACTGGGTGATATCAAATGTAGTATATGCCAGATCCTTCCCTGTATAACTTTCCACTCTGTATATCGAAAAATGTTAGTTATTGCCGTTCTTTGTGCACGATCAGTTGTCTCTCGTCGCGGTAAAGGACATTTAGGTGGTTAGGTTAGTTACTGGATGTACTTATTCCTCATCCTTTTATCACTTGATTGCTTAATGCACAAGTTCCGTCATCTCAATTGCAGCTACTCGGCCCGACATGGGTTAGTTTCAAGTCCACCATAACTCGAGAATAAATCAACATTCGATTCTGTAATGTATACTATAACGAATGGAAAGGAAAGGTTGTAGACTCCTGCAATGCAACAATGCAATGTCAACATATATCTGTCACTAAAAAGTTTATCCATCATACAAGGAAAGCAAGAGCGAATCGTAGATGTAGAAGCAAGGTTATGAGTTGAACGTACTTACATAACCTTGACTTAGAATACTAACAATATTACAGATTCCTTTTCATTATTTTTGTCTCTCATAAAATTGGCCATAGGCCTTGTTCGTCGTCAATTTTTTTTTTGGAGAGAGGAACACATGATCATCATGATCCTTCGTTCGTATGCTGCTTGCGGCTTTAGCTTTAAACTGTATAATGCTGCTGAATGGTATCGATATCAAGTCCCTTCAGCTTCACAACTGATTCGACATGCCCCTTCAGCGTATTCAGCTCCCTCAGCCTACAACATAAGTTATATATATTAAGATCATAATCCCAAAAGAAGGATGTTTTCTTTTGTGCATATGCATGAAAATTAGTTCAACTCACCTTGCAACCTCAGCCCTACGCTTGGCCTGCTCTGCAATCTCTGAAAGTTCCCTGTAACTGCTCCTTTCATTGAACACGTTCGAGGTTTCAGGTGGTTGAAGACCATGCAGCGTTCTCTGTGCAGTTGCCCATTGTGCTTCTCTTTCCTCTTTTCCGTAATCTTTCTTTGTAGTGAAGGCGGTCTTTATATAGGAACACAGCATAATAAGTGCAAATGAATCAGAAATAAATATAAATACTACATAGCAGAAATGGAGAGATCCATCGAAAGCCATGATGACTCCTACCTTGTTCTCCAGAAGATTGTCCCAAGCCTTTCCACTAAGAACGTAACGGATCGCAAATTTTATAAGATCAAGTGGAATATAAGTCACCACACTGTAAAACCAGATTACACCAGCCCACCCCCAACCCATTCCTTTTATCTTTGCGAAGCCCCAATTTGCATAGACAGCTATCAGAGTGGCCACCTGCCAAATACAAGTGGCTAAAGCTTCATTATATGTTAACAGGAAGCTATCTATTTGTCAAAATTCACTGCAACAAAAAGCATCTATTTCGATTTAGCTGTACTAGGAATGATACATCTAGTTGATTTACAGAAAATTAAGCGAGGCCTGCTATGATAGATTCATACGAAGGGAAAAGCAGACTATCGAACGGATGATATCTCAAATGATGAGTTAAATTTTCTTACCAGCTGAGCAGCAATGAATGCACCGACTAATAGAAGTCCAGGACGTTCAACAAAGGACCAGCTGCGAGACCGTGTAACAAAAATGAGGGCCTGACTCACAATACTAACTTGAAGGTATAAAGCTGCCATCATTTCTTCAGGACGATCCCTCAGTGGCCTAACATTAAACTTGTCCTGAAATATAAGAAAGGAAACTTAGCAAAATCAAAAGAAAAACGCATCAAAATAAGGCATAAATTAGGTAAAACTGAACTTACAGAGAAGAAATCGGTGTCTTTCATTGCCCAGAAGAATAAAACTGTCATTAGTGCTAAGTAACCTCCAAGCACAATGCCAGTTGAGAAAATCTCCTTGAGTTTCCAGCTGTCAGGCTGTGGAGATGGCTTTACTCTGTCCTTGGAAATTGTCATGATTGTACCTATAGATGTGTGTGATGATGAAATAACTCAGATACAAGACAATGGTAGGTTTCCTGGTGGCTTTTACAAAGACATATTAAAGTAATAATAGTCTGATAAAACTCATCTCACCATCATTTAGTATGGCAATGATTAAAACCATGAAGGGTGCAAAGTCAAACTTCCATATCAAGGCTATAAACATGAAGCCAAACTGCCAAAAATGAATATGAATAAGTTAATCCATTTGTAAAATTATTTACAATTATTATTGTTCAAGTCTCAGCAGGTCTGTATATACTTACCACGATACGAATGGTAATTGAAACAGCATATATCTATAGAAGTCGAAAGGAACAAGAGACGAAGTTAGAAACACTTTCCCCGTGGAGTAAAGGACTGTAAATTGCAAACAAAATTAAGCTTCGATGTGGCTTACAGTGTAGTTCTTCATCCTTTGGAAAATAGCCCTGCTGGTCAGTACTGCACTGATAATGACACTTAATCCAGGTTCAGTAAGCACGATGTCTGAAGCACTTCGAGCGGCATCTGTGGCATCAGCAACAGCAATTCCAATGTCTGCCTTCTTTAAAGCAGGAGCATCGTTGACACCATCGCCTGTCATGCCACAAATATGTTTTCTCTCCTGTAGCCTTTTAACAATTTCATATTTGTGTTCTGTCATTGACGTGAAAAACAAACTGTTAGGGAGGAACTTAGCAGGGGACCTTATGGCAAATAAAATAATGATACTATCAGGAACGACCTAAGAGACTTAGGGATGTTCCTGCAAATCAATAAGTGATGTGCATGATAACAAGCGCCAAGTACAACACACGACTCTTTTCTTACAAAATAATAATAATAATAATAATAATAATAAGATGCCAACATATCTTTAATGATCGACCAAGTTCTTACCAAAACATGCATTTTAATAATTTCCATTTTTCAGAATATCACATATTTAGGTAGACATTTGACAATTAAACACACCAGGGAATACTCCTGCAAATCCATCAGCCTTCTCGATCAATTCATCTACAGGGAGAGAAGCAACTGAAGCATCCTTGTCCTGACCCAGCAAGGAAGATGAAGGGTACATGTTGGTTCCCATTCCAAGCCTCCTGCCAGTTTCTTTGCCAATGGCAAGCTGATCCCCTGGTATGAGAAAAATATTACAAAATTTGCGTCTTTAAACTATAGACAATGTACAATATTTAAATACAATTTAAAAAACTCTTACCAGTAATCATCTTAACATTTACTCCAAGGTTTAGAGCTCTTCTGATGGTTTCAGCACTATCATGTCTCGGGGGATCAAAAAGTGGCAACAAACCAACAAGCTGCCATGGTGCTCCAGGAGCGTCCTTTGATTTTTCAGGTACTTGCTGTAGAAATGGAAACTAAACAATATGACTACACCAATCGACTTATCTATTCAACATGAATCATTCAAAAGTTTGTTTTTCTGACCTGTCTTGCAACAGCTAAAGATCGAAGCCCACGTTCAGCAAATTTATCGATAACTGAATGAACCTTTCTCCTGACATCTTCTTTGCAATTACAAAGATTTAAGATCTACTTCCAAAAACATTGAAAGCATATAAGTTAGAAGCTATCTACCTAAAACTTCAAAAATTTATATTCCAAAATGGGAGAAAAGTATTATTACCTGTTCTGGAGCACCTTTGCTAGCACGATGCCAGTTTCCATCAGAATCAATGTACGTTAGAGCGGTTCTCTTGTCTACGGGGTTGAATGGTAGGAAATGGATCTCGCGGATACCAGCTCGTGCCTGGCCGATCAGTGTAAAAGATGACACAGAGGTCTAGGACCTAACGGTAACAATAGAAGAAGAGAGACTTGAAAAAGAAATAATACCTCCTTTGGATCAGCAAGCATTCCTACAATTGCGGCGTCAATAGCATCCTGATTTTCAGTCCTTGAAGCCCTTGCTGCATAGAGTAAAACATGCTCTTTTTCGACTCCCTTTGTAAACACTTCAATTAGGGTTCTATCAACTGTAAGTTTGTTTAGAGTCAGAGTCCCAGTCTTGTCACTGCAGAGAACATCCATGCCTGCCATTTCCTCAATGGCGGTCATTCTCTTTGTAATAGCCCCTTGCTGAGAAAGCCTATGGGAACCAATAGCCATGGTGACAGACAACACAGTTGGCATAGCAATTGGGATTCCACCAATCAAGAGAACCAGTAAATTGTCAATTCCATCCCTATACTTGCGGTGCTGTATTGGGTACATGACTATTATCTCAATGAGTATTCCAACAGCAATGGAGCAAATGCAAAAATTACCAATGGCAGTAAGCACTTGCTGGAAATGCCCAACTTGATTGGTGCTGTCCACTAGGTGGGCGGCTTTACCAAAGAAGGTGTGAACACCAGTTGCAATAACAACTGCTTCTATTTCACCCTGTTTACAGGTTGATCCAGAGAACACTTCATCTGATGGATTCTTCGTGACAGGAAGAGACTCCCCAGTGAGAGCAGACTGATCAATCTTCAAAGGATCACCCTCGAGAAGGCGAGCATCAGCTGGAACTATGTCTCCAAGTTTTATAGTGATAATATCCCCAGGAACCAGAATTGCTGCTTCTTGCTCACTCCATCGACCATCTCTAAGAACCTATATTATGGTACAAGACCAAGCTGAAATCATGAGAAAAATAAGACGGATAATTCTCAACAAACCATTGAGTGTCTGGATCTTGGTTTCCACCTTAGTTTTGGGAGCAAGATTAGCCATGAGAGCAGCTGCAGCGTTGCCAGCATTATTTTCTTCGATAAAACTGATGGTGGAGTTGATCACCAACAAGACAATGATACCAACAAAGTCCTGCCAGTCCGGAGGCCTTCCATCACCATTTGCCAAGGCAATAGCCATTATAGCAGCAGCTTCCATGACCCAGGACAAAGGGTTCCACATAAAACCCAAGAACTTGAGAAATTTGCTCTCCTGTTGGCACCATATTATATACCAGATTATACAACTGAACACAAACTGGAAATTTAGAAACAGGTACGTGAGAGATTATGGTAATGTATAGACCTTTTTCTCTTCTAGTTTGTTTGGTCCAAAAACTTGAAGGCGTTGGGTGCCTTCGTCGGTAGTCAAGCCTGCTCTTGTACATTTTAGTTGCTCGAAAACTTCCTCGATAGGAATCCGTTCCTATAAGCAATTATCACTTAACCAACTTAACTATCGTTTCATCAATCAAAATTCAAAAGTGCACCTAAGAAGAATGATTGCTTTGTCTATCTCTGTGTGTGCATGTGTATGCATTTAAGTAGAAATCAAGTGTTGCATAACAAAGAACTTATATGGCCATGCAAGTGAGAACCAATAAAAATATTGAACTTCAGATGAAAATTTTATAGATACTGAAGCTTAGAGTAGAAGCTAAAATTATATAACAGAATCCACCACCTGATATCAGCCTCAAAATCAAAACAAACCTAATGCTAACATTGCAGAATGTGAATGGGGTCAAATAGAAGTTTATTTAAATGTATGTATGTATGTACGAAACGGTTTGGTGGGTTTCAATTAAAGAACTCCCTGTGAAGGAGAAACACCGCCATAGCAGTAACTTATGTAAAACCGAGCAGCACATTTCAACAATAAAAATTAAAATAAAATAAAAAGGCCTTCTATTAATGTCGTCCCTAATTCATCTCCCTTCCCATGATATGATATCTTATGTGATCCACGATGACAAAGACATAAACATAGACATAGTGTGCCCAAAGCTAAAGAAAAATGGAAAAGTATAACCTAAATTCTTCAACTTCGAAGGCCAAAAAATCCATAAGCCTAAAGCAAATATGTGGAATTTATTTTATAGTATGGTTAGATTATTATAAATAGAAGAACGGACGAGTTTTAGGCTATCATTTTTCAATCTAGTGGTGAATAAAAATCATAATTATTATATATAAAAGTAAATATTCTTTTTATTATTCTTAAAGGTTATAGGTTCGAACACCAGCGTCTGCAAAGGTAATTATGCTTTATTGTTAAATAGTTGATAATGTTTAGAATATATATTACTTTGTAATCACATTAGTTTAATAAAAAAATATTCCTTTAAAACCTTTAAATGGTTGGTAACTTTTTTATGAGTGGGAATGCTTGTATGATCCGGATGGTTATTTTAATAGATAATAATCTTTTAGGACGTAGATTTTATTATTTAAAAAATATATTATATTAAAAAATAAAAAAATGAACTATAACTTTATATATTTTTAAAATATATATACATATATATATTTTTTATCCATTGATTTGTTACGCCACCAATAAAAATGTTATGAACAGCAAAATTAATGGGGTACAATATGTTTTTCAAAAAGGAATAAATAATTTTTGAATTATTTAAATAAGATTAAGGATTTGAATAATAATGTTGCTGAATGAAATAAATTAAGTTGAGAGCATCGTCTTTGTAATGGGTCTCTACGATATTTAATATAGATTAATTGATCAATATATCAAATACTGATAATTAATATAAAAAATCAAATTTTAAACTTAGATGTCAACAATAAATCTTAATTCCGATATGAAAATAAAACCTAATATTTTTCTGAAAAAATGTTTTATTATATTTTATTAAAAATAAAATTAACATCACTCTAAAATAATATTATACCCATCGCCTTCATCGTTTCCCTTTGCCTCTACACACTTAAAAAATATTTTTATAATTTTTTAAAATATAATATCATTTTTTACTCCTCCCCCATATAAATTATCCGCAATAAGACATAAACTTCTTATTTCACAAGATCATCTCATGTAATAAATTATAAAAAACACAAAAGAAACTCAGATAACAGAAGTAAAATATATATAACAAATTTCTATTGAAAAAATCATAATCATAGCATTCTCTTAAAAGTCCTAGAAGTAAAGGAAACTTCTGTTTACTTTTCAATAGCAAAATTAACGTTGAAAAGCAAAAACAAGATTTATGGCGAAAAATAGCAACTCCTACTGTCCCACACTAGTCCCAAGCTGTTAGCTCAATCCAAACCTCTTAATTATTTGAAAATTAATGAAAGAATACAGAGAGTGAAAAGGATGTGATCAATGCTCATAGTTGGAGGATAAAGAGAAAATCGGTAGTCGATCTTACTACAAACAGATATCATACTAATTAAAGAAAATAAAATGGATATACAACGGCGGATCTACGTATATTTGAGGGTGTGCGAGTATTTATCTTGAAATTTGAATTTTTCAGCCAGTTAATTATTATTATTGTTAATGTCTATCTTAAAATTTTATTTGTGTTCACACCAATAAAATTTTTATTATTAATATATATGTGTTCATTCAAAAAAAATTATGGATCCGTCAACGTAGATTATACGTATTAAGCTCAAGTAGCCACAAATCATCGCTTAATTTGTTTGGAATGAACGAAGATGCTTGTTGAAATTAAGAAACATAGCTACTTCACCGTCAAATCATGAATCATTTGAAACATACAAGAAAAAGAGATTATATCGCAGAACATGATTTCGCGCTTAATTTGGCTTAAATTCCTTAAAAAATCGAAAACCTCCACCGTTTTAGTGAAACATGAAATTAGAAGTTTAGATACACACTCGTTTCATAAAATTCCAGAACGCAGAACGTCACAAAAGCATATGATTTACACATAATTGCTCGTTTTTGTGATTTGAAAAGCAAATCAAACAACCGCCCAATACTACTTGCTTGTATCAAATTAATATGATTGATGTAAAGAGATGAAAGAACAAAAATATACCAGATCGACGGACTCGTTTTTTATCTCTTCGAGGCTTATGCCGCCCGGCATCTTCCAACCTTAGTCGCGTGGAGATTAGCCAGAAAAGGAACTTGCAGCTACTAGAGCATGTATACAGCAAAAGCAAATATAAAAAAGGAACCACGCGAGACGCTTAAATACTCGTACACTCGGAGCACGACAAAGAAACGGGCTGATTACCAATGCTAAAAAGATGGACTAACAAAGGAGGAGTGGGAAGGAAATTACTGTAGTATAAGAAATAGAGGCGTTTCCCTTTTTTCTGGTTATGGGTTTTGTGTTATTAACGTAAATGAATGGAGTCTGTTCCAGCGTTCAGGTCTTTATATATACGTGAAATGGCGGAGGAGGAAGGAGCCCCTAATCGCAACCCTCCATTTCTAGTACCAAAAAGTGCAGCCACCATGGGACCCGCTTAACCTGTTCCGTCTTGGCCTCTTTATCAACGTTATCATGTATGTTGTACTAATAATAATGACAGTTAAATTAAATTCAATCAATAATTTTAAAATAATATGATATATAATGATATTTAACTAATATATACTTTTAAAATATTTTTTTTTAAATATATTAATTACTTTTTGGAAAAAGTAATTATATTAGTTACGATTTAAAAATAGGGTCATATAATTTATGTAGAGTAAAAAATGAATACTATTTTATTAAACAACTAACTAAATAAATTAATATATAAACTAGTAATAAAAATAGAAATGATTTTTATATTGGTGAGCAAGTGTAATCAATAATCATAGGTATAAGATTCAAAGGAAAAAAGGGGTGTAATAATAGATATGATGTACTATGTGGAAAATGGAATCAGCGTGGGGAATAGGAAAACCTTTTCCAAAAGGTATTGTATTAGTTAAGTTATTAAATAGTGAATCATTATTATCTATTTTAATGGAATTTTTTAATATTGATAATCATAAAAATGATTATTATGTTTTGGAGTTTATTCAAACAGGATCTTGTATAGAAGAATAATTTTTATTTTATAGAATTTAATTTTAATTTTTTTTTATAATTTGATCCATTCATCGATAAATAACCTTGTAAATGTGTAATTGCGAGAATACTGATGATATAATTTAGGCATGGAAATAGGAAGTATTTGTTTCTTCATCAAATACTTTTATCAATCAAACTTTGAAGAAGTAATGTAATAAAAAAGAAAAAAAAAGGTTGAGCTTTTATCTCTTTCCATCACAATCGTTTTAATAGTGATTGATTCTTCATTTACTTTTTGTTCTATAATAAAGTAAAATTGCTTGATTTATTTAATTATTTTAGTTAATCTTAGTTAATCGATCTAAAAGAGTATTATTCTCTCTCGATGTTTTAGATTCAAATAGTTATGTCTGTAATGTGTGTATACATTATCAATAATATTTTATAATCATTCCAAACTATTAAAAAAATATAATTTTATACTTCTTAATTTTTTTAATATAATTTATTAAATTCGTACTTCCTGATATAAAATCTTACTTTTATCCACATCTTCTCATATACATCAATAATTTAAATGGATTAATTTAAAAAATAATTAATTTATTTTAATATTATAAAACATTTTTTCAATTTAATTTATTCCATTAATAAAAAGCAAATCTTTAATCTTACTTAAAACTTTAGATTTGATTCAAAATTTAACATGGTGTAATGTAACGAGGAAGATAAGAAATTGATATTTGTACACTCCGTCTAATAGGAAAAGCACATGCATGTATGTGGAAATTATGAGATGGAATTTGAGATTGGCCGGCAGACCATATATATTCAGGCAATGTGATGCTCAATTTTAATTAGTGTTTGATGTGTAGTCTATTAATAATTATATAAAAATAAAATAATTATTTGAACAAATTTAAAATCTATAATAAAAAAAACTGTTTGGCACATATTCTTCCACTCACAATCCTCCCCTAGTGCTTGGTACAAACCATTTTTTGTCATTGTAAGACCAGAAAATGGTCCAGAATTTTTGTTCCACGGGGTCCACCAACTTATTAAAGTATTATATAGAAAACCCTTCGACCCATTTGAGCCACTGGATGAAAGGAATTTATCATACAAAAAAACAACAGTTTTATTGTGATGCAAATGGAGAGAGAGAGAATATAAATACGGCAGAGAGGAATGGTTTCTGAAAAGGTAGCAACATTCAGCCTCCAAGTATATCATCGCCACTGCTTTTTAGAGACTTTTTCCACAAGGATAAGTTTCATAAGAAAATGATTATAAATATAAAAAGATTAAATAAAATTGTACTATCAAGAGAGTGATTTCATTTTGATTTAAAAGGAATAAATTTGACATGATAGACGGGCGAGAGATTTTATGTTAGAAATTAATTTATAAAATTTTATAAATTTAAAAATAAATTATTAAAAAAATAAAAATACCCTTAAAATATACAAAAATTCATTTCTAAAAAAACTATCCAATTAATCCCCTCTATCCATTTCTGATTTTACGTGATTTCAGTGCAGTGAACTTGGCAGTACTGTTGCATGCCTAGGTTTCAACTTTGAGCAACGAGTGTTATTGGGCGGTTAATGAAGAGTGGAATTTGGGTAGCTAGTACTTGGAGGTGATTGATAGAAACGGCCAACGCTGGAAGTGGTCACTGCATATTTGGTGATTCTTATCACTTCCTCGTGTCCAATGCCACTAACAAAAGGACCTCAAATGTTAAAATGACCCTTCCATTGAACAAGGACACGGCACGTATTTTGAAAAGATGGACCGCTAATCCAAGGACGTAGCTCCGAGATTCGTTGGCTCCTCTATCCCTTTCCATTTTTTTTATATTTTTTTACATTAAAAAATGTTAAAATATTATTCTGATTTTCAAAAATTATTTTATCCAGATTATTGATATAAAAAATTTGATATCATTCATCTTCTGATCTCAAACTCATTGAATTAAATACTCAAATTTGGTCCTCTAAATAATTCTTATTTTATCTTATGAGAGATTAATGATTTTTAATATATTATTTTGAGTTTGTTTAAAATAGAGTTATCTATGACCAGAATTAAATTTAAAATAAAATTTATTTTTTTGTTTTGTTTTAATTAAATATTTTAAACACTCTAATCATTTAACAATAAACGTTCATATTTCTGCATATGCGATATTTAAACATGAGATCTCAAGAGATAACAACAAGTCCCTTAACCAATGAGATTGCTTGGTTCGTACCAAAGGATTAAATTATTTGACATATAAATAATAAAATTCTTTTAAATAACTAAATTAAAAGAAATAAAAACTTTATTTAATTAATATTTAAACGTTAAGGCGACTATTAATAGAACCCTGAGACGGTCTAATGATTCAACCGCAAAACTAAACTACGCCTCCATGACATGCATTATATATACAAGTGATCAGGATCGATAACGGCTTTCAATGAATGAAGCAGCAAACGCAAACGCACGAGCATGATAATGGACCCTTTTCTCCTTTTTTTTTTCATGGGAAAGCAGCCGAAGTGCAGAGATCACAGGTGGGAGCAGCATCACATGTTGGCATAACTTCCCTTGTAAATGCAAAACCCCCTTTTTCATAGGATTCTAAATTATAATAAATGGTGGAGACCGAAGTGTTGAGTGCGAGTAATTGTAAGAGAGCCAGAAGACACGGAATCTATGGCTGGCTGGCTTGACACACTCCACTGGATCTGAACTAAAGATTAATACGCAGAAAGTAAACGGCCTCATATCATTGCCACTTTTTATATTTAGTGGAACCTGTCGTCCAATCAATATTCCCTCTTAATTTTATTTTTTTATCAGTAAATCATTTATATCTTACTATCAATCATTATAAAGTTGATCAATTCAAAATTTAACTGTTTTGGATTCAATGTAATCATTCCATGTCATTAATTTATTGGGTAAGATATATATATTTAAATTTTATTATAATTTGTTTATATCATATTTTTTTAATTGTATTTGATGTTCGTGGTAGACGTTAACTTTGATTAAACAAGGAGTAAATATACAAAATTATAAGGAGAGTAAACTAATCTTATAATCCGGACATTTCTCTTAAAATTACCGAATTGTATAAACCAACTACATAAGAAAGAAAAAGATTGTACAAGCAAAGAGTTTAAAATTCAACCAAACAACTCAGACAAATGATAAATACTAATACAAATTGTTGTCGGTATTAAAAAATAAACACAATCAATATTAACATAAAATTGCTTGTAACAATGTTGGATGGTTAACAAATTAACAATAACATAATTCAACAACAATTTATCTTTGATGATTAATATCAAGGATCAAAAGTCAACGATAGACGTTCAACCCAAAATTGATGCTAACGTCGAAAACAAAAAGAATATAAAAAGGAAAAAGTGACACAAGTAAAAAAGAGAAAGAAGTATTATGATTTTTTTTCATTTATTCTTCTAAAGTAATATTCATATAAATTTTAAAATTTTACGGGTCAATAAGATTTTGACTGAAATGATAAGATGAATCCACATTTGAGTTTCATCCCATGTAAAATATATATTACTTTTATTAAAATTTCTTATGGTTTAAATCTTATAATGTGCTAGTTCTGTATAATTATATTTATTTTATTTAAAAAAAATGATGAGTTCAATTTTACATAAATAATTGACTCACAAATGAAATGATAGAAGTTTTTTATTCCATCTTTCATTGACATTAATTTGGAGTTGAATTCATAAACAATCAGTACCCCTCCGTTTTAAGGAATAAATTCCATCAAGATAACTACATATTCTTAGCACAATTCAACTAACTTTATATGCGGGACTTGAGTCGTAATAAAATTTTATTACCTTCAAATACATCTTCTAAGACTCGATTCTATGTCATAGGCGTGAATGCACTTTTCGTAGAACATTTACCGGATAAAATGCTCGTTGCTTTGGTATTTGCTACCTTTTCTTTTGTGCGTGGATAATTGCTAGTTGATATCCAAAGGCAAAACAGAGAATCGCAAAATGAGCCGAGAAAGCAGCCTTCTTTATCAACGCTTACAGTAGTTGTACATTGTAAAACGACCTCGTATTGAGCGGACACTGGGCTCAACCCAAGGTTAATCCGTTCAGGCCCACTTGTTGAAATTTATATTGTTTCTTAAAATAAAACATCAGGCGGGAAAATAATAACTAATTGGCGGGAAAGTTTTGAAGTAGTAATCCCAAACCA